AACACCTGAACAACACTTCTCTCACACATCGGGCAGTACTCAATGGAAAACTCTGGCTTACATGCACCCAGGGAAGATGAAGAATTTTTTGAAGAAATTATGTCAGCTGACTATCAGAAAAGCATCAGAAAATGAATACATTTTAGCCATTAATAGCAAAACTAGATGTAAAACTCGAGTGTGAAGTGGAGTTTATCTAACCATATTACATAGTCACAGTGGTTGGTTGTGCCCTGCCCTATGTAGATTACAACAGAACCATGCTGCTGTTAAATAGAGAGAGGGGGGAACAATAATTAAAAACAAATGTGTTTTTATTGAGCAATGATCAATGTTTCACTGATTTTCTAACTTTCTGTTGGTTAAATCAATGCAGTTGTGAAACATGGGCAGACCGCTGCCTCCACAACTTGGCCATGGATAAAGTGGAAGTAAATGGATGGTTCATAACTGGCCATAGGGTTAGCAGTTTTAAGGGAAAAAAAACTGTAGGCCTATTATTTATATCCAAAACACAGACAGTATTATGTGTTTTTGTTAAGGTCTTATATAGGAAAATAACAGTTTACCTTCAATGTCTCTAGACCACAGATCTGCATGTACAACTCTGGTCTGACACACCCCTCACACTCCTGATACAACAACATGAACAAGCATAGCAAAGGGATTTTCAGCCTGTATCTTGTTCACTCCACTTCCTCCTTCATGCTAAATATTGACTTTGTTGATATTTGAATTGGAGATGAATTTACATAACGGATCCCGAGACCGTCTGTGGTAAGATCAGCATGAATGGACCTGAAGGTACATAGGAGGTGGGGGTTTCCAGAAAAGCCCATTTATGAAATTGTAATTTGTGTCTGTAACACTGCACCCAATGCATAAGGAGATAAGGCTTGACTGTTAAGTGTTGCACCCTTGGTAAGCAATAACACATTTAATTGGAGACCTGTGTCTTGGGTAGAATATATTTCATATAGTCTCTCATTGTCAACACTTAAACAAAAAGTATTTTATCATTGTTTACTAGTATATATAAAATTACTCTGCAGAACCCCAGAACAATTTAATTCCTAGACAACTAGTCAACACTGTCTCCTGCTTTCAATGAAACTCTTCTCAAGTTAAAGCGAGTGCGGTCAAAAAGGTTGGAAGGGCCACTGAGTTCAAAGGTCAAAGGCTAAGACTGCTGTTTGACTGTGGATGAGAGAAACTTTAAATTGTGTTAAATGTGCCCTCACTACAACCACTAATTAACACTATTACTTAAGAACTGCTGTCATTTTTATCTTTTTTAATCAAGTAAGCATTCACTTAGTCCAGTTTGGTCCTGGTTTAAGCATAGCTTTGATTGGTCCAGAGCTCAGCTCTGATGTAATCTTGGTTGAGTTCTGCTCTAGTCTATGTTTAGAGCCAGGTTTAGTCAGTTTTTTGTGCAAGTAGGATCACATCCTTAAGATGTGAACTACTAGTAAATATAAATAAGATGATCAGCCGACGTCATGTCGGGTGTCATCGTGAATGCATTCACAAACGAACATACTAAATTTATACCTGGTTTTAAATTTAAACCATACATCAGAGGAAATGATGTGTATTATCACATGACATAGAAAGGTTAAAGGTGAGGTCACTGGGGCCTTGTAATTAGTCTGTCTACCCACCAACCATTTCTCATAGGATGGGTACCATTTATGGCATCTCACCCCTGACCTAGGTGTTCTGGTCTCTAAAATAGTCTCTCGCTGCAAAGTCAGTGGTCGGCACTGGACCGGAAAGTGAACTTTGAACTCTGGAAAAGTGGTGGGACCCATGGGAACTGGGCACTAAAGAGTAAGTTGTGTTTGCAGCAGAGTAATAATTGGTGATAATGATATACATGTTTTTGAATGGATAGTGTTACCAGGAAATGAGGAATGAAATGAATGGGGAAATAAATCACTCAGAAATCTTTACTCAAGTAATTTGTTTCATACATTTTAAAGTAAGTTAGTAATTAAGTAATAAACCAGCTGGCAGACATTTATATAAATGACAACTTGAGGTCATTGTTTAAAAGTAGAGTAATACTATTGGTATTGATTAAGAGTGAGTTAATACTGACCAAAATAAATGTTTGGATCACAATTGGATAACAGTTTTGCAATCCATCAGAAATGTGCTAAAACATGCTTGACATTTTAGCAGAAAGTATCTTGACTATACAACACCCAGATATACTTACTTATAGTACTTTTCGGAAGATTACAGAGCACATTTGTGTTCCTTTGTATCTTTGTGAGTAGTGAATTTAATACTTTCAACACAAGACCAATATTATCATGTTTTGTTTAGAATATACATATATCGCCTACCTATAGTATCAACAGTAGGAGTACAAACCAAGGAGATGAAGTATTGTTGATCTTAAAAACTTCCCACACTTAATTTGAGTGCTGAGTTGCCGATCTACTATAGGAACCCCTGAGGGCACTCTACAGAAATGTTACCACACAGGTTTGTGTCAGCACAGATTCAAGTGGAAAATAAGCTCAATGTACACACTCTAACATACCAGCAAAGTACGGTTTTCCACACTTATGTAATAGATTGGAAAGGGAGGTACTACTGGGTCTAGAGTAGACTGGCTTGCAGAGCCAAATGTAGGCATTTCATTGAGAATCTTATCCAATATTTACTCTTTGAATGTTCATCCTAAAATAATGAATTCTGAAAACTCTATCAAAGTAACACAAAAACTACTCATTCTAGTTATACAACATTGTGAAAGCAATTTTACAATGTTGTGAAATTGTGAAATGCACAGAACATTTTTGGGAATGGCTGGATTAGAGAAATATTGCATTAGGCTACATCAAACTCCTAAAGTAATATTTTGTAATAATCCAATTGATTACAAAAAAGAGAGAAAAAAGGTTGATTTCTGGAATTACCAAGAGAGAATAGCTGAACCCACTGTGGTGGTTTGGCACCAGTGACTACAGAATGAGGCTCCCTCCACCACATCTAGTTCTAAAACACTAAAAACTGTGGTTAGGCTACTCAGAATTACAGGTTGTTGTTTTTTTTTTAATTGAAAACAAACAAAAACTGAAAAATCCAGTTTTCATGGCACTTTAGTAATGACAGTCAGAATGCGAATCTTACTTTCGTCTGAGGTCCCTGATGGACCTCAGAAGTGTTGGGGCCCCCTAAGGTTGCTCACAAAACAAGCATAAAAAGGAAATTAATTTTGAAATCAACCTCACATAAGAAAAGGGGGACAGTGGCACAGAACACTTTGGGAATGACTGATTTATGGTATATCTGTTTTTCACCAACAATTTTGAGTTTTAGTGCATTTTGTTAGCTTTGTTGAACTGCCTTTGTTTCCAACCTGCATCTCTCAACCATCTTCACTCACTTTATATTATTCATCATGCTCACTCAGGGTCTATTTATACCTTTCGTCTGCTTGTTACATCTGTCCTCACTAATACAACTCTGTGGCTTTCTATGAGATCTATGTGCAAATGAAGGGTGTCTCTAATAATTTTCCTCTTCACTTGTTTATCCACTGAGAATCACATACTTCCTACATATTGTGCATAATTGTTCATATGAGTACATGAGCATTTGGCAAGAAGGCAAAATTAGACATGCCCACAGACTTTCACATCTGGTCATATGCATATTCTTGATAGCCGAATTGAAAATACAAACCTTGCATGTTCTTCCCAAGGGGCTGCATCAAAGTTGTATTATCGCCACTCTGATTTTTCATATACTGCACTGGGGCATCTGCCACTTCTGCTGTGAATAGGAAAATGCTTTTAGTGCATGTTATTTCAGTCATCCATGCAGTAGTTACATTATATGCTCCAGGATACATAGGTGACAGTGTATGCTGGGGACAGCAAGCCACAGCTGTTCAATTTAATAAGAAGCATAGTAGAAACACACAGTGCATGACACATTTTTAGGTTGGTTTAATTGAGAAGTGTGAACTCTCGCGATGATAAATAGTATTTTCAGGTAATCCTACCTTCCGTAAAGTTAAAAAGGTCACTACAAAGTTTTTGTTTTTTGTTTTTATGTTTTGTTTTTTTCAGGTTCAGAAAACCGTATTGGTCCCATGAGGCAATTAATTTGCAACATTCTCAGAACAGTTCCCATACACACACATAACTCACAGTGTGTCGGTCCATCACAGTCCACAGGTGGAACTCAATGCAATATTACAATGCAAACAATAAAATAAAATAAAAAACACTACCATCAGAATTAAGCAATTTAAAAAGCAGGAGGCACGAAAAAATTAGAGAAGCGTCGCATTAAACCGAGGCCCTGAAGGCATCTGGAACCAGAGGATGGAGGAGCTGAGCCAGGAGAACCTTTGCTTTGCTCAGCTCAGTTTGGAATTAACATCTGAACTAAAAAGCCAATATCAATACATTAAAACAGGCCTACATAATGAATTCTGGGTTTTGGAGAATTACAATAAATAACAATGTTTTTTTCCCCCTCATGTCTCAGATCATTACCTAACGTGGTAATGATCGTTACAGCAGAGTGTTACAGGAATTGACGAAGCATAATGTGCTTTTGCAATAGTATAATTTTATTGTATACAATTTCTTACCTCGATAAGATTGAAAATAAGGCATTAGTCTTGGGGAAAAAAAAAAAAAAAAAAACTGGAGAATGTGTGTATAAATACTTTTCTTGAGACATAAAATATAGCCATATTTTTGACAACGAATCAAGAACAGATCCATACCCTGCGCACCTGACGCGTGCCTTCTTCATCGATGTGCCAGGAACTTCGAACATTTTGGCGGACTTGCGCCATTGGCATGTGATACTGCCATCTTGTGTTTGACTTTAGTAAACGCAGCAATGTGGATTTTGGTGTTTTTTTTTAACAATTATGTGTTCTAAAACATTGCAGCATAGTTTAAATTGCACAGAAGGTAATTTTTAGACTAAACTAAATAAAACTCAAAAGCAACAAGTCAACATGTTTTTGTGGTAGAATGCTTTATTAGATGCAGATTGTAAAACTAGTATTCAACTTGCACATCTCAGTTTCTTTGGAGCCTAAAATACAAAAAAAAAAACAACATACAATTGTATGAACAAACATTTGAACATGTTGAAGAATAGCTCATTTTGTTTTTCAGGAACACAACTTCTTAAGTAGCTACGTTGGTCAAATACAAGAGGATTTAAGTGCTGTCTGTTCAATCTCAAAGCTGATGGTTCACTGAGTGATGCCAATGACTCCACAGGCCAAACGTCCTCCAGCGTTGCCAGTTTTTAAACTTTCCTCATTGCCTCCTTTTCCAAGATCGTCAACCCCTTCATGTATCTAAGCAAAAGGAAAAGGTATGGGGTTTAGAATAATCTCCAGAAGGGATTAAGAGGCTTTCAGAGTTAACCATGATTGTGGTTGGTTGGCATTGTATCCAACTGAATGGCACACTGGGCAGTTTTTAATTATTTTATCTTACATTTTTAACTTCACGTTTTGGGATTTTGACCAACAAAGAAGTGCAGTTTGTGCAGTCCAAATGGATGGAAGTTAAGGACTATTAGCATGCCTAAACTATAATTTCATAGTGCCTAATGTATAAAAGCTGGTAAAAAACAAAAAATCATTTCTGAAAACCATATCTGGCAAATTTGATTTCATTTGACTACTTCACACTTTAAGAGATGCAGTTTAAAGTAGTGCATCACAAACAAAACCAGGAGCAAAAGTGAGGTTTTCCCAAGGCTCCAGGAGTCTCTGAATCATAAGACTTAACATATCCAATCTGATCCAGATTTTAACTTTGGCTCTTGACCTATGGACCAATGTAGCCCTGCTGCCTGTTAGCATAGTGATCTAACCACACCTTCATGATAAAGGTTTTGAGCTTGACCCAGCTTAGTTACCAGTATCACTTCATAGTATATCCCTGGTGACAAGCACCAGGCACATTTTTGAAGTTGTGGACATTAAATATGTGGAAGGGGAGATTGGTAGGGCTGCGTGCAGGAAGATGTTGGGGAGAGTAAATGGGAGGATTGTACCCTTGTGTTAATCCATATAGAAAGTAGGGGGGTCTATAAAAATTCTTACCACCATAGTTCTTCCAATGATTGAGTCGCGACCCCTGAGAGAGATGACATTATCCGTGATGTCAATCTTAGCGATGTTATCAGCCCCTGCGGTCACATTGCCAAGGTCTCCTATGTGCCTGGTGGAAACACAGCCACTTAACAGTTTAAATCATTCAAATTATTTAAGTTAATCAACTCTCCCGTTGCTGCCTCCTAAATATGTTCCGTTTCTGCCAAATAAGTTCTATAAACAATATAAATGTACTGTATTACAGCCTTCCAACTCATGACAAGGGCAAACATGTTATTCTTCACTATTACTTAGTCACAATAAATTAAACTGATACCATTTGGTCCTTTCATACAATAGAACATTATTTTAATAATTACATTACATAATAGTACCATATTGTTCCACTTTGTCCTATTTATATAATAAGTATTTTTTAATGTCCCTATTACTCAATGACAAAAAGCTAAAAATCAGTAGTAACTGTACAAATTATTTTAAGTAATATCTGAATTTTTGCTACCTTTCCTTATCATTGGGGCCAGCATGATTCTTATTGTAGGGGTTGAAATGAGGACCAGCACTGATGCATCCTGGGAAATCAAATAATTTGATTAGTGTTTTTTTCCAATCCAAGAAATGGGTTTTTTAGGCAAAGATATTCACCGTTTGTGTTGTCCCCAAAAGCATGGACATGGAAGCCGTGTTGACCAGGAGCAAGACCTTTGATTTCTCCAGTGATGTGAACAGTAGCTGAATCTTCCTGTCAGAAAAAACAAAACACATTTAACAGCAATGGGCAGAATACTAAAGGGCTGTCAGAACCATGTGTTGGAAAAGGAAATCCCACTCAAAGCAGTAAAAGCTAAAGTACAATGTTTGTATTGGGATTGCGCCCTCAAATAGCTGAGCAATCTCATAAAATAGCGTTAAAATAAGAACGTATGATAATTTTTGGATCAAATGATGAATACAACTGTATAGTTGTTTATAGAGTTGTATTTCTGGAGGTCATCAATGAAACAATGGAGTCGTTGCTTAGCCAAAAATGAACGGCTGTAAGCGTGACTCAGCAAAATTAATGGCAAAAGATGAGCCATATTTTTACATGTTACACATTTCTGTAGCCCACTTAAAGTCAATATACGCAATTACTAGATAACGTTAGTTGAAAAGAACGGTTGTCAATATTGAGATTTTTCTTTTAGGTGCGTATATTTAAAGTTTTAACTGCAAGCACAAGAGGGTGATATTATGCAACAGGCGTTTCTAAACATTGATTAACCCGTCCATGAGGGCAGGCCCCAAATGTCTAAAGGTCGAGCCTTAAGCAGACTATTACTACATTTAGATTTGCTAATTTGACAACACCTTTATGAAATACTGTTGAATGCCTGTCGAGATCCACTTGGCTTCCCATGTAAAAAACATAGACTTTATAACATCGCAACCAACCAAAGCAACGCCATTGTTTGCAACCTAACCCATGCCTTATCAGTTGCATTAGTAGTGTGCATATTAAAGATTACATTTATCTTAAAATGCATTCTAGTATTGTCAAGTTACAGTATAACTATGAACAATGTACCAAGTAGCACTGAGTATTGCACAGCTGTGAACCATGGATTTAATAGTGAGCCTGTCCTGTTTTTCTGAATGGAGCTGTTGGCTAACCTAGCTTGCACGTATCACGCCAATGTTTGGGTCACACAAACCGCATTAAATGTTCAAGATTTCGTGCAAAGCAGAGTGGCCTCACCTCCTGTGCAAAATAAACAGTCCCACTGGTCTCTCCGGCTCCTTTCAAGACACAAACAGCTTTCAACGCCATCTTTGCAGTTCAACTTCACTCCAAATGTCAAACCTGCTGGAAAGTGCTAAACTAGACAGCCAAGTTATCTAAGCGTTTGGGGGCGGGAGTAAAGCACACTTAGCCAATCAGGATAAAGAATAATTGCAATACCGGTGTCTGATTGGTTACTAAATTGTGACGAAAGGGCGTGACATTATGCTAGCGCTTTCTGCGTTTCTGTCCCCAAACAGTAAGACAAATAACTTAATATATATTAGACATATCATAAAAAAGTAAGGTTGTGAGTTCAGTTTATTCTTTTTGTTTGTTTGAAAAAGTTGTCAGTTGCACTTCCTATTAGTCGAAGGAGGGAGTGTGAGTGAGAGTCCTGCCAATGGACACAGCAAAAGTTCACTACATTTACCAATTTTTGCGAACTCAATTAACCTAAAGCCAAATTGGGACAAAAATGGTTATAAAACAAGCTGGTATAAAAAATAGTTTATTAAAAACTGGTTTCTATGGCTGACACAATATAGACTGAAAGTCCAAGTCTTGTATTTTAACAAATAATAATAAAAATAGTTTAAAACCAAAACTGGGTCATGTGTCTCCTTGCGTTCAAGTCAAATTAAATTGACTCAAAATACGTTACAGGAAATGTTACAACCTAAAATTATCAGTGACAGAAGCTTATGTACAGCAGCACTTTTCAACAACCTTCATGACTTTAGCTGTCTCCTTAGGTACATTATTAAAACGGGAAGAGATTTACCACAAAGACAGCAATAACAAATACATGTCTTCAGAGAAAACAAGTGTAAAGTTGATATTTAATCTTAGCTCCAGGGTTCAACCTTTTCAATTCAAACAGAATCAAGAGAGATTCTTAAAATAATGTGAACAGTCAATAGGTTTAATTTGACTTGATTGGTTTTCACCATTTTGGACATCCATGAACATTCAAAATACAAAAATGTAAATCAAATCTTTTAATTATATGCAGTGAGTCTGTCTAGGTTATAGCTTCATTACCAAATAAAAGCTATTAGTTATGATTGCTTTAACTCTGGGCAAATATGATTGGAATGATCTAGTGTTGCAAACACATAGCAACCACGCAATAAAATCATATTGTATTAATTTCTACCAATAATTGCCCTTTATTTGTCAATGTAATGCTGCATCCATGCCCATTTGTATAACTTAAATGACAGAAGGGGTATTACACATTAAACAATGACCATCTTTGAAAATATCAGTTATGGCATGTCCATATGAATACACCAAAATGCACCAAGAAAAGATATCTTCTTTGCTAGCAAGGATGTCTACATTCAAGAGCCAATTAACAAATTATCATTTTGTAGAGTATCCCCCTTTGATGCTCATCAACCACTATTCAAATTAGATTTTTGAATACCAAAAGGTGCAAATGTGGTCAAAGTATTTCTTGTAGTAAACCTTGGTAAATATAAAAAACAACACTAATTTAAAACACCCTAAATGTGAATTAGTCACACTGGCACTCACATTTTTTCTTGTATATACATAAAAGAAGTCTACATTTGATATCTAATAATCAAAACTGATGTTCTTGGACTTTTAAAAACAAATTTGAGAGGTGTTAGTTTGATAATGAAACTTGATAAAAACCGAAAATGATGTTTCTGTAACTGTTTGATAGTCTGTAAAGGATTTTAAGAATTTGTTTCCTGTTTTTCCTCAGGGGTGTCAGAGGTGTTACTCTTATTTGATGGTTCAGTCTTAGAGTCTTCACCTTTAGAGACTAAAGGTTCAGAGTTTGTTTTCCTATGAGAACGATCAGAACTTGTCTCTTTGTCTGAGGTCCGTGACCGGTCTGAGTTTTCTAACTCATTCAGCCGATCATCATTGTCCCATCGTGTAGACCTCTCCCGGCGTTCAGAGCGCCTTGGCCTGTCGCCCTCTTTGTTGTCACCTGACCTTCCACGGTCTCCCTCTCTACGGTCTCCCTCCCTGCTGTCTCTGCTGTCTCTGCTCCCTCTGCTGCCTCTCTCCCCCCTCCCTCTGTCCCGCCGCTCCCCCGTGTCCCGCCCACGGTCTCGATCTGGACTGCTCCGTCTCTCTCT